GCCTTGTCTGGAAACATTCATATTGAAGTCAGGAGCCACTTTGTTATGCAAAATTTCATAGACTTTGTCCATTTCATATGAACGCTGCTGTCCATTTTCAGTCTTAGTCGAATAATAGTATTAGTGTATGTATGTGTTAGTGTATGTGCGTGTGTGTGTGTGTGTGTTAGTGCATGTGTGTGTGTGTGTGTGTGTGTGTGTGTGTGTTAGTGTATGTGCGTGTGTGTGTTAGTGTATGTGCACTTTAGTGTTAGTGTATGTATGTGTGTTAGTGTATGTGCGTGTGTGCTAGTGTATGTGTGTGTGTTAGTGTATGTGCACGCGTGTGTGTGTATGTGCGTGTGTGTTAGTGTATGTGCGTGTGTTAGTGTATGTGCGTGTGTGTTAGTGTATGTGCGTGTGTGTTAGTGTATGTGCGTGTGTGTGTGTTAGTGTATGTACGTGTGTGTTAGTGTATGTGCGTGTGTGTTAGTGTATGTGCGTGTGTGTTAGTGTATGTGTGATAGTGTATGTGTGTGTGCGTTAGTGTATGTATGTGTGTGTTAGTGTATGTGCGTGTGTGTTAGTGTATGTGCGTGTGTGTGTTAGTGTATGTATGTGCGTTAGTGTATGTGCGTGTGTGTGTTAGTGCATGTGCGTGTGTTAGCATGTGTATGTGCGTGTGTGTGTTAGTGTATGTGCGTGTGTGTGTTAGTGTATGTGCGTGTGTGTGTTAGTGTATGTGTGTGTTAGTGTATGTGCGTGTGTGTTAGTGTATGTGCGTGTGTGTTAGTGTATGTGCGTGTGTGTGTTAGTGTATGTGCGTGTGTCTTCGTGTATATGCGTGTGTGTTAGTGTATGTGTGTGCTTTTTAGTTTGTGTGTTAGTGTATCTACGTGTGTGTAAGTGTGTGTGTTAGTGTATGTGTGTGTTAATGAATGTGCCTGTGTGTTAGTGTATGTTCGTTAGTGTTAGTATGTGTGTGTGGGGGTGTGGCGGTGTTAGTGTATGTGCGTGTGTGTTAGTGTATGTGCGTGTGTGTTAGTGTATGTGTGTGTTAATGTATGTGCCTGTGTGTTAGTGTATGTTCGTTAGTGTTAGTGTGTGTGTGGGGAGTGGCGGTGTTTGTGTATGTGGACTTTAGTGTTAGTGTATGTTCGTTAGTGTTAGTGTGTGTGGGGTGTGTGGCTGTGTTAGTGTATGTATGTGTGTTAGTGTATGTGCGTGTGTGCGTGTGTGGTATCCATTGCACCATGTAGGCGGTTGTAGCGATTGATGTGATAATACATAATCATGTTTCCTACCCTCAGAAATATAATCAAGTACGTTCCGCCATTTTACAGTGAAGGATAATTGAAAACCATCATCTACTTTTAGTCACTAGTTTATTGCTTGATCGCTCTACCCCTTTGATCTGACATGCAAGTTAGTTAGTCTCTTGATTTCGAGATAAAAACTAGATCGAAATGTCCGAGTCTCCGAGATACTCTTGATATCAATATTAACAAAATACAACTCTTTTCTGGATAGCTGTGTTTGAACTTATCTGTGCTCGATAAAACCATATTCGAGACAAAACTCTATCAAGTCAGTCGTGTCGGGGATAACATAATGTATTGAGGTATTTGTTTCCAAAATAGACACTGCGTCCAGATACTCGAGTTAGAGATAGCATACGTAATAACTGTGTTCGAAATAGTACATTATCGTGTTGCTCGAGATAACACTTTATCGAGATAGCCGTTTTAGAGATTACCAAATTGATCAATATAGCCTTGTTCGAGATAAATACTATACTGAAAGAGAGTGTTGGAGACAAACACCAAACTTTCATAGCCGTATTCGAGAAAAAGATCTGTATCGAAACAACCATGCTCGAGATAAATGCTAAATCGACAAAGACGTGTTCAAAACGATCTTTGGATCACCACATTCTAAATAAAATAAATGTTAAACCCAACTTTTCTATCTCTAAACAAAACCAATACAGAGGTGGTCGTCTGTATCGAGCAATGTTTTAGATCCCACATCGAGACAACACTACATCAAAATAGTCGCATGCATCTAATGCTGATGTGCGAGATGTACACTAAGTTACAATAAACTGACGGATGAAAGAAAGTATACACGTGAAAACTGGATTTGACCCCAAATTTCCATAACGTCATTAGGCGAAAATGGTCGCCGAAACACCGCACACTTTATGCCCAAAACACAAGTATGATAGTTGATACTCGTATCAAATACATCATCATCATCATCATCGAGTAACCGTTTCTGGTTAGTTTCTTGTTTAGCCACCATTACATATGGGCGTATACCTTCCTTTGCCTGTCTGTTATGTAAATGCAATACTGAAATTCCAATTTTGCCTGATACGCTTCGAAAATGAATTTTAAAAGTTACGTTAATAGAGTAGCTGTTCCATCCTTGTCAGTCAGTATTAAGTCGCGTGCTAGCGAAGTCTACACAAAGGTAACCGACCTTGACAGATGCACCATCTGCACCACAAATCGATGAAAGTATTAATATAGAAACTGTTCAGTTTGGGATCAAAGTGACGTGTGATGCATCAGCGCAAGCTAGCGACACTATGCGGGAGACAAGTCCATTTGCATAAATTGAGCAAAATGTCAACATGAAAAACTTATATAATCGATTTAATGCAGCTCATCTCATTTTGCCCTGCTTCCTTTCATGTGTAGATCCATTTGAGGGAAATTATTGTTTTGTCAATAACTAGGTTACGCTGTCTGTTTCTGATGTATTATATTTTGTATGTATGCTGAATTTTGTTTCATATCCTCTCCTACATTTTTGTTAATGTTACACAGTAAACGTTGAGTCACGGTTCAATAGCTACAACCTCGAGGAATGGCAGAACAGGGAAGGGTTGTGTTTACGTTGATACTTCAGTTGAAAACCAATGCCAAATCAGATTAATTCGTTTCTTTTTTAAACGTGTTATATACTCAGTGATTAACTTATATTTTCATGTTTCCACCCTTAGGCAGATCTTTGATTTTCAACACAGTATGTACAGTAACTGAAGTGCTTTGACTGTATGTTATAGATCCCAACCATGGTACAAATAGAAAAACCCTTCATGCTGTCACCGAAAACCACTGAATCGTACCACTTGTACATATGACTGAACCATGCCAATAAAGCATATCACTTGTACATATGTCTGAACCGTACCAATAAAGCATACCACTTGTACATATGACTGGACCATTCCAATAAAGCATACCACTTGTACATATGTCTGAACCATGCCAATAAAGCATACCACTTGTACATATGGCTGAACCAATCCAATAAAGCATACCACTTGTACATATGACTGGACCATACCAACAAAGCATACCACTTGTACATATGTCTGAACCATGCCAATAAAGCATACCACTTGTACATATGTCTGAACCATACCAATAAAGCATACCACTTGTACATATGTCTGAACCATGCCAATACAGCATACCACTTGTACATATGGCTGAACCAATCCAATAAAGCATACCACTTGTACATATGACTGGACCATACCAACAAAGCATACCACTTGTACATATGTCTGAACCATGCCAATAAAGCATACCACTTGTACATATGTCTGAACCATACCAATAAAGCATACCACTTGTACATATGTCTGAACCATACCAATAAAGCATACCACTTGTACATATGACTGAACCATACCACTAAAGCATACCACTTGTACATATGACTGGACCATTCCAATAACGCATACCACTTGTGCATATGTCTGAACAATACCAATAAAGCATACCACTTGTACATATGACTTGACCATTCCAATAACGCATACCACTTGCACATATGACTGAACCATGCCAATAAAGCATACCACTTGTACATATGACTGAACCATACCACTAAAGCATACCACTTGTACATATGACTGGGACCATTCCAATAAAGCATACCACTTGTACATATGACTGAACCATACCAATAAAGCACACCACTTGTACATATGACTGAACCATACCACTAAAGCATACCACTTGTACATATGACTGGACCATACCAATAAAGCATACCACTTGTACATATGTCTGAACCATACCAATAAAGCATACCACTTGTACATATGTCTGAACCATACCAATAAAGCATACCACTTGTACATATGTCTGAACCGTACCAATAAAGCATACCACTTGTACATATGACTGGACCATTCCAATAAAGCATATCACTTGTGCATATGTCTGAACCATACCAATAAAGCATACCACTTGTACATATGGCTGAACCATACCAATAAAGCATACCACTTGTACATATGTCTGAACCATACCAATAAAGCATACCGCTTGTACATATGTCTGAACCATACCAATAAAGCATACCACTTGTACATATGTCTGAACCATACCAATAAAGCATACCACTTTACCATACCACTCTTCCATACCAAGAGAAAATACCATTTTACATACACTGATGGAAACCACTAGCTACACAACTGGAAAGTACATTGTTCCATCAAATCGATATATATCGATCAAATAATTGATCCAATGGCCATGTTGATCAACACCGAGTTCTATTCATTGCTTTCAAACAATCCACGGACCAATGTCAAGAACCACCTTCGATTTTAAAGAATTATACTGCAATGACTGTACCAAGTGTTACACATACAATCAGGGGCGGTGGGGTAGCCTAGTGGTTAAAGCGTTCGCTCGTCACGCTGAAGACCCGAGTTCGAGTCCCACATGGGCACATTGTGTGAAGCCCATTGCTGGTGTCCCCCGCCGTGATATTGCGGGAATATTGCTAAAATCGGCGTAACACCATACTTACTCACTCACTACACATACAATCAGACCATTGATGTGTATCATTTTCATTGATACAGTAGAAATGTATCATTAGATGATAGCATATTAGTGTTCAGTGGTACATTACCAACGTAGCTTCAGTATGTACCTTACAGTTAAACTCCCGTGCAATAAATTAAATATGACATTTATGTGTTTCAGAAAAGTGAAAAACAAAATGTCAACAGCTAAAGGTCCTACCCTCACTCGCCAGATGACAGAGGAGGAAATACAAGAACAGAATACGAAGGTGAGTATTTGGACAGAGATCACATTTATGAATCTTTATTTTTGGAATTAGGAGTCACCAGTACCCATACATTTACGATGTTTGCATTGTGTGACTGGTTAAGGGTGACTTATTCTATCAACCACTGGTTTGATTCTCCAGAACTGTATGCCCTTCAAGCAACGGTTACACAGGTGAAACTGTACCATGATCAAACGGTTGTACCAGCCCATCCTAGCGTACGTGCGTGTGTGTGTGTGTGTGTGTGTGTGTGTACGTATATGTGTATGTATATATATATATATACTAGGCACATAAAGAAACTGTGCATACCAAAATTTAAAATCTAAATTTATCAAACCTGTGTAGACACATAAGGATTCAAACTCAGAGATTAGTGACATGTATCCAACATGCATGCACGTGCCACGTTCCGTGACGTCAGTGGGTTCGTCCTTGACACGTGCAATACGTTGTTGCACGCGCATTCCGGGAAAGAGAAACAGAGCAAATGAATGCCACACAATACTGTCACTTTGGAAAGCTCAACCCCTGCCCTTGCGATCGTTCAAAAAATTAAACGGCTATTGAAACGCATAGCATGCCAAGGCTCACGTCTGCACAACGTCATGAGGCCATTGGGATGGTCCGTGGGGGAATGTCTCAACGACAAGTGGCTGCACATTTCCACTGCCACCGGAACACCATTTCTGCACTGGTGAGACGCTACCAGAACACAAATGACGTCATCGATCGGCCACGTTCTGGACGTCCACGTGTAACAACGCCAAGACAGGACATATGGATAAGGGTGACCCATCGTCGCCACAGGTTTCAGACTGCAGTGATGACTGCCCGAACCATCCCAGGACTTCGCCGTATCCACCCCAACACAGTTCGACAACGTTTACGTCATCACGGGATCAGACCACGACGTCCCGCCATACGACCTATCCTGACACAACGTCAACGACAAGCTCACCGAATGTGGTGCCGAAATCATGTCCGCAGACCCTTGTTTTGGTGGAGAAATGTTGTTTTTACAGATGAGTCCAGGTTTAACATTTCCCATAGTGATGGACGTCAACGAGCCTATAGACGCGTGGGAGAACGTTATGCACAGGCCTGTGTCTTGGAGAGGAAATCGCTTTGGTGGTGGTTCCGTGATGATTTGGAGTGTAATAACAGCATGCCAAAGAACTCCTTTGGTGATTGTTCAGGGCAACTTAACTGGTGTGGGCTACAGGGATCAGATTCTTCGACCTGTGGCACTTCCTTTTCTGCAACGTCATGGCCCTGGGTTAACATTCCAACAGGACAATGCCCGCCCTCATACGGCAAGGGTTGCTATGGATTTCTTGCAACACCACAACGTTGACTTACTGCCTTGGCCTGCAAATTCACCGGATCTCTCCCCGATAGAGCATGTTTGGGACGAGATGGATCGACGTCTACGTCGTCTTCCTCATCCGCCAGATAACATCCTTGACCTTGAACTTGAGAGAATCTGGCGTGACATTCCACAAGCCTTCCTTGCACGTTTGATAGGCTCTAAGCGTCGTCGATGCACTGCTGTTCTCAATGCCGATGGTGGACATACCCGTTATTGAGCTTGTGACATGCTCGTTTGACCCCTGTCCAGCTTGTGAACTCGTGACGTCATTGTGATTGACTTTTCAATTGAAATTCTCCCGACTTGTTATGGTCTCATGATCCCTCCATTAAAGTTTATATGTACCTTTGACATTGTTATCGTACTTATCAACTGGGATAATATTTTGACAATTCACAGTTTCTTTATGTGGCTATATATATATATGTATGTATGTATGTATGTATGTATGTATGTATGTATGTATGTATGTATGTATGTATGTATGTATGTATGTATGTATGTATGTATGTATGTATGTATGTATGTATGTATGTATGTATGTATGTGTGTGTGTGTGTGTGTGTATGTATGTGTGTGTGTGTGTATATATTTAATATATTTGTTATTTAATAAAACAAATATCTAGTATTATTTCATCAAGTATTTTGCAATACACATATGAAGAAAACAGACTGTTACTCGTATAAAGCGACGTGTCACATTCTCTTTGGCTATAACCGACTCCTGTATGAACTTTACCTCCACTCCAGCTGAAGTATCTCGAAGAGGAATTTAACTGTATGGATGTGATCGGCGACAACAGGCTCAACTACGGGGAATTCGTCAGGCTGATGAGGTTGTTGAGGTACCCCACTGGACACGAAGGGGCGAAGGTTGGTACACCAGAAGAAGGTTCACTTCTTCCCGGTACAGATCTTGTTCCATCAAACGTCACACATCAGCCGCCGCACGTCGGGTGCGACGTCAGCAGTACCAGAAGCGCCTGTTAAATCACCACAAGACAGCAAGAACATTATGTCATTTTCACAAACTACGAGTTTACTTGACTCATTGAAGATTTAAGAAATTGTTGTCCAGTGCCATAGCTCATTGCAGTGCTATGATCCACGGTCTAGAAACTAGATTCATTTTAGATGTTGTAAAAATTTGTAATTGAGCAAAATGGAGATAAGGTACTTTTTAGAAGTGTGTTAGAAAAAATACAATGTTATATACAATTAGACATGTTGTGAGTGCTAGTGTGTCCAAGCATTAAAAGAATTTTAAAAGAATTAGGACGGCAAGAGGATCTAACTGGCAGATACTTCCATTAGAAGTTGTTACCTCTTAGTATACAGTATCTCTCAAACTGACCCTGAAACAAAAATATCCGATAAATACCAAATATGGAAAGACTCTGGTCTCCTTTCTTTACCAGTAACATGTTAACAGGGTTGGGCGTATATTGGTTAGTTAGGAGACAACCAAAGAGACTTCAACTCAGAGTTGAGTTGACTCAAACTTGCAATTAGCTTCAACTGAACAGAGTTGATTCGTTGTATAAATACGTTGTTCGGTGATGTTTAAATGCCAGTGTATTTCTTGCAGATAATTTGGCTGAAACAGTTGGGGAAGAATGAGAGAAGCACCATGACCAAGGACGAATATGTAAATCTGATGACGAAAGACACAACCCTAGAGAAGTTGTGAGTATCTAACTGGTCCGCCCCTTTTCTAACAGTTCAGTACCCGACGAAATTATAATGATGCCATGTCTGTTAAAATGTGTCAGAAACCTTTCTCTTCAGGCCCTGATTTCTCGAAACAAACTTAAGTTTTTACTCAAATTCCAAACTGTGTTTGACAATTTGAAACAGCTGAATTTTTAACTCAGCTGCATTTTTAAGATAAAAAGCCCTAACAACTGAAGTAATCAATCCACCAAACTCAAATTGTCTACTAGGTTTGAGTTTAATATCGATTTCAGTTCATTCTGGGAAATGCCTTTTCTCAAATTTGAGTAAAAACTCTAACTTAAGTCATAACTCAGACTTAAGTTTGTTTCGAGAAATTGGGGCCAGGTGTGCTAACAGGTTTAGACCGCCACTTTTCACCTGACTCACAATTTACGATAATGGAATTAGTCCTATACAGCCAGCTTGCATAAACAAACGTCGGTATAAACCTCGCATGTTACAGCGAGTTAATATCACTTATTATAGAACACACATAACAACAGCTGTGGCAGCACATCTCCTTGTTGTGTCATAGTAGTGATACATTGCAGAATGAAACACAATTAAAATGATACATGTTACAAATATGGATCTAGAGAGAGGATCAGGCAACATAGCGTGTATGTGATGATACTATAACGTTTCTGTGTAACCTGGGAACGAGGAACAATCAGAGTTTAGTGTACCTCGTGCTTGGATAACTGCCTATACCTTACGTCGCACAGTTTCCTTGTATTATCTGGGCGGTGGGGTAGCCAAATGGTTAAAGCGTTCGCTCGTCACGCTGAAGACCCGGGTTCGAGTCCCACATGGGCACAATGTGTGAAGCCCATTTCTGGTGTCCCCCGCCGTGATATTGCTGGAATATTGCTAAAAGCGGCATAAAAATAAACTCACTCACTCACTGACACTCACGACTGACAACAGTAGTGGACATTCATTTCCCGACCAATTGCTTTAAAGGAGTTATGCATACCAATAATTTGCCATCTCTGGGCATCTGATCATCTTCTTCGTACCATAGTGGGAGAAAAAAGGATGGGAGCATTGTAAACCATGCAGATTAAATACTGACATGTGTCATGCGCGCACACTGCACATACTTCTTCTGGACATGCTCCACGGGGAGTGTCTGTGAAACAGTTTCGACCAATTACACTTGCAACAATTTCTTAAATGAACATTATTACCATACGTATCACCATACACAAGCTGAACTTGAACATAGTTCTGTTAGCGGTCAACATATTTAGGGTGCTTAACTTTTATCCAGGTGTATAGAATGAATGCAGTTTTCCATCCTTCATTGTCTAGTCAAGACCCGGCTGCTTACATGTAGCACGAGTAGAGGTGTTAAGAAACCGAAGTTACTTTTAATGCAAATTATGTAGGTTGTGAGTTTGGCGAACACCTGGTGCCATCACTGATTTTTAGTGGGCTACTCATGTTTTTTTGCAACTGTTTTGCCTTTTGCGACCAATGCAGATTGGCAGATGATTTGGTTACCCATTTTTATTACATTAAATTCATAATGGCTGCACCTTATGAAATGCATGAATACATTATCTGTTGGATGTCGGCTCATTGTGTAACGTGTCAGAATATTGATTTCATAACCATGTCCAACAGATAACGTTTTCATATGGGGCATTTATTTCCGTGAAGCCTTTGTGTGACACAGCAGAACAAGATACTGTTGCAACAGCTCATACAACGACCACGTGCACCATCATAAACTAATAATGATTTTAATATAGTTTCTGATTAATGGTATGGCTGTCAGTGCGATTGATTGATAAAAAGATACTTATTAGTCATCATCATCTCCATCATCACTATTATCTCAACGTCCAACATAGTCCAGCAGTCTATGGTATACATAGCTGATAAAGTGTCATTGCTATAGCACAGCGCCATATATTTCATTGTTTCATATTGACATTTATGTAGGTTCCAGAGCAATATTACATTTCCCCAACACATTATACTGAACCCCTGTTTAATATATGTTATATATTAGCAGCCACGTGTCAACGTGAACTTATTCCGACATTAAAGAACAATTGCTGTTCCATATTGCTACATTACTCGCGTGTGATGTTAATGATAATAACGGCATTACCGTTATAACTATATAGGTCTGAGCAGTAACAAGCACAGCGTGCTTTCGTAAACAGATCTTGATACATGTAGCAAGTATGGCAAAAGACCCGTGAAGATCCGGGTTAGAATTGATCTTCAACAACCCATGCTTGTCGTAAGAGGCGACTAACGGTATCGGGTGGTCAGGCTCGATGGTTTGGTTGACACATGTAATCTTATCCCTATTACGTCGATCGATGTCATGGTGTTGGTCACTGGATTGTCTGGTCCAAACTCGATTATTTACAGACCGCCGCCAAAAGCTGGGATATTGAGGAGTGCGGCGTACAATTAAACGCATTCACTCACTGTATAGCAACACGACATTGAACACCAATTTGTAAGGCGGTTATTTATGGTTTGAGTAGGACATCCTGACTCTGTATTACTTGACCCTTTTCCACAGTTCTATACATTTGATTATATACTACCCATTAAGACTAACTTAAAGCACTCACTATATGTTATTAATTTATATGGTTACGTCGAAGATGAATTTCTCCACTAACTTAGGGGAACCATCTGCAAACCTTATGCAGATGAATTGCACGAGGATCATGCATCGATTTTCTGAAAAGCATGTGCAAATATCGTTCATGTGAACAGCTGCATTTTCGTGTAAAGGTTTGTTAAGAATTTGCCAATTTTCACTTTTCATCATTTATTGAACTCATGACAATAATCTTTTCAACGTTACGAATTTGTTTTACAATACATCAGCTCACGTGTAAACAGTACCTTTAAACAGTATGGAATATTTAGCAAAATCTTTTTTAGAACAGTTGAAGTAAGTGGCTACATTTACACTAGTGAGTCAAAACTTTTGATATGTAGTATATATCCAAATTGATGCATAAAGGCCTTATAGTACAGAGATTACGAATGCACTTCTCTTTGGAATTACTAAAACGAATCAAAAGAATTTAACCTTGAATTAAATGAACGTTGTAAAGCTTTTTATAAGGCAGAACTACGTTCAGATGCGCATGATGTGGAAAATGTCATTACTGCTAATTATGGCATCTGTGTGATTCAGTGCGTTCATGAATATTTTGATTCTGCTTGATCTGTCACGAATGTAGATAGACAGCCTGCAATAGGCAGTAATATATTTATTCAGTATGTCATTCGGAGGATATCTCTACAGCTGCAAAGTTCGTTTGTGAGCTGATTGGTTATTGATACAAATGATATGCATAAATCATGGCTGTCACAAACTGTAAAAGAGATTGAGGAAAGTGTTCAATATGCAAAACGGGAATTAATGGCCCGAGGATACAGTTGCCAATGGAAACGAGGAATAATATATTGATAATGGCATTCGAATTTTGTTGTTGAATATCACATTAAACATTTGGCTTTGTTAAATGTTATAAATGTATAAAAGGTATCTGTCATTCGTCAGGGATATGAAGGAGGTCGACAGCAAAATAGGCACCCGTGAAGATCCGGGTTAGAATTGGTCTTCAGCAACCCATGCTTGTCGTAAGAGGCGACTATAGGGATCTGGTGGTCAGGCTCGCTGACTTGCTTGACACATACCATTGAATCCCAATTGCGTAGATCGATGCTCCTGCTGTTGATCACTGGATTGTTTGATCCAGACTCGATTATTTACAGACCACCGCCATATAGCTGGAATATTGCTGAGCGCGGCGTTAAACAATAAAACAAAACAAGCTAATGAAACAGCTGGTCTTCGAATCAGATCTGAAACAAGGCACGAGGGATGTCAATACCAACGCGGATCATATGGAACAGTTGTTACCTTGACTGTTGACTTGGATGTTACGTGTTACATGTCACTGGGTATCCACTCATTCTGGTGTGTTTCTGGATATGCGCGAGACGTCTTACACGCCGTGAGGCCTAAAATGGTACAGAACAGAACAACATTAGTTCAAGCATGAAGGGTCTAATTATCTCTGATCTCAAGAAATAGTTAAATGCAGGACACTAAATTTGAAAATTGTCATTTGTGTATTTTGGATTTCATTTTTGTGATAGCTTAAGCGGATGTGAGGATGACATTAAACATTACTTCAGCACCTAGACGGGTATCGAACAAGGACCTTGGACTACACCTACCACGCATATCCAACACTATATACTGAGGGGAAAAAATAAGGGATCACATGAAAGCACAAGTGTTTCTTTATCTTTTTCCAGGTTTCTTTACAGGCGTTGTATCGCATAGCTTGTGAAGAAAAATGGAAACAAATAAATGAACACTTGTACGTTCATGTGATCCCTTATTTTTTTCCCTCAGTATATATTGCTTATTCTGTTCCAGCGATGTGGTAGCCTAGTGCTTAAAGCGTTCGCTCGTCACGCAAAAGTCCCGGGTTCGATTCCCCACATGGGTACAATGGTTAAAGTCCATTTCCCCCACCATGATGCTGCTGAAATATACCCAACTCATTCACTAATTCTTTTGTGTTCCTTTAGGACAAGCGTCTGGAGGTGTGTGTATGAGGAGTTCGATCACGATCACTCTGGGTGGGCCTCCAAGCAGGACGTGATCAATGGCCTGGAAAACTCCCTTGGTATCCCTGTAAAGGGAACGCTCAAAGAAAAGATTGACGCCATGGACGAAAATGGAGACGGAAAAATCTACTACTCGAATTTCCTTCGCATGCAGCTGCATCTGATCCAGAAACAAGGTTCAATCTCACACGATACGAGCGCCAACTGAGTCAAAATGAGGCTAAATGGGTCAAAACCACGTTCTGACTTCAACAATAGCAACAACAACATTCTCAACGTGTTCTTTTATATAATTTGAAGCCTAAATGGTAATTATAATGTACTCTATCAAACGGCAAGTCCAACAGTGCAAAACGGACGGTGGAGGGAATGATGCCAGCTTTTTAACGTTCCATTTGATATATATTATATAAACCCGGCTGGCGGAAGAGTGTCGGCGCGTGTTTTCTGAAGTGAATGCTTCAATCCACAAGAGTCTGCGAGGTGCTAGGAATGCACGTCTTGAAGCGCTTTCATTTTGCTTATTAATATTACGAATATTTTATAATATTATCGCCTTATACTTGTACTGTTGATCATGTGTAGCCTACATTTCGGTATTTAGATCTTATGTGTAGGCATTTGTAGAGGATATAGTTGTAGTTCGAGCACATACATTAAATGAATTCTGTTTTCGGAAAATGCAATGCAATCTAAAGCGAGTAAATTGCCATGTTTCAACACAACAAAGAAAATGTTTTAATTTTAATTGATACAAATCAGGAAAGAGGAAATATTTTGGTTTCTACACATCTCATTTAAATAGCATAATATATGTTTCAATGTTTCAGTTGCAGGGTTCTGTGTTAATATCTGGACTTAATACTCACATTAACCTTCAACACTCAAAACATCAGGTACTGCTACACAAGCAGCCATGTTAGGACTAGTGATTAGGAGAGTGCATAGATGTACAGAATACTACATCTTTCCCTTAACCTTCACGTTACTATGATATTTTGATAGTATATACATATATATGAAAATGCATACAAACTACAATGATAATATACTATCAATAAAAAAACATACAGCAGTCATATGTTTTAAAAATAATGTCAGACGGAAACACACACACACACACACAGACACACACACACATTTTCTCACATTATTATCGAGTTCATTAATTATACAAATAGGAAGATATTTAATACACACCTCCTCACATATACTTTCTAGACTGAAGTAGAAAAAACGCTCTCCAACAAAATATATATATTATATATATATTCCATATTATATATTTCATATATATATATATATCCTGCGGAGATTCAGGTACAGAAGATGGAGAGAAATGATGAGATGACACATCTACTCACGTAACAACTGGCATGTTATGTGAGTGCAGGGATACAATACAAACAGTCAATGTAAAGGAAAACAATCTGAAATACATATGTATCTGTTACTTTCTGTCCTGTTGCTAGTTTCGTCTTTGGAATCTGTGGTGAAGTTACGATCATGTTGTATGTTTGTACATTTTTGTAACCTTTAAGCTTGAATAAATATTCATACGTTCATTGCCTGTGTTATTCGTGTATATATTTGATAACTGGACCCGAGCCTTGAATCAGAATATATGTATGAATATGGTCGTGTTGGGTGTCGATGGATGGTTTCGCGAGCAGCTGATATCATTACTATTCGACAGTGATGCATAAACACTTGCTTATGATATATTCGGAAACGTACAATGAACTCTGCTTTCGGTTCAAAGTTTAAATCTCACATGATGACGGAAATGAATCGTTGCTTCTGTTTATACGGAATGTACGTCCGCTACAAAATTATAAAGTTACCTTTATCATTATGTTACATTTGTTTGTTTGTTGTGTAATGTCGTGCTCAGCAATATTCCAGCTATATGGCGGAGGTCTGTCCATAATCGAGTCTGGACCAGACAATCCAGTGATAGACATCATGAGCATTGATCTACGCAACTGGGATGCGTTGACATGTGTCAACCAAGTCAACGAGCCTGACCACCCGGTCCCGTTAGTCGCTGCTTACGGCAACCATAAGTTGCTGAAGACCAATTCTAACTCGGATCTTCAGGGATAACTACAGTTACAGTTGATATATCTGAGCAAAGGACAATGTAGGAGAATGGTTGACTTACAAACTGAATACAAACTGAAAACCGACCAGTTGTGCAATTAAAAGCACATGGTACAGTTTGGTACTCTAGTTACCTGAATACTTCACAACCATTTCCACAATGTATTGGGTTTCACAATTGTTTGGGTTTTTTTTCCAAAAAAGGTTCTTTGCTCTTAAAAAAACATTTTAAAGAACAATCTGTGTAGCATTGTGATGTTCGAAATCCTTCTGAGGCTTCAGTTCCCTATAACTTTATCACACCCCGAAATAGTCCATTCAGACCAGTAGCCATTCAAACTTTGAATAAAGGAATTAATTACACTCTGATTGGACAGTGGTTGAGCCATACATCAAAGTATTATTTGGTTTCGTCAGTTTCGAATATTCCCACAACTCGTACAACCGATGACGCGACGGCCGGGTCTCCTTAATGTAAACGCAGGTTGCCATCCTTGAGAGAGTATTGCTATCCGCAGCTTTTAACACTATTCCAGCAACATCGCGGCTCATCTTCCACGGCCGTGATGTTGCTGGAATATTGCTAAAAGCGGCGTAAAACCAAACTCAGTCAGTCATCGTCGGAGTGGTAAATGTATATTATAACCACAAGGCTACCCATCCACGGTTTCCTGGAGTATTCATGCTTACAGACACAAACAATTCCGTTCACACACAATGATGAAGCCAGTTAGTCTTCGACAAGGTCAGTTCATGATTCACCAACACTGATAGGTATGTAGCAGGACGTGGAGTCATCCCACAGATGACATCCTTACCATGTCAGCTTGCTGACGGGGTTAACCTCTTTGGTCATGTGGACAAGGCGTCCGCCTTCGGATTAGAAGGTCCGTGGTTCGAATCCCAGCACGGGACTAGGAAATTTTATGGCCGCTACATTGGCGCCCAACGCGGGGCTGAGCACGTATATATCAAATTTGAGCAAAATAAGTCTCAGTACCCAACTATGCGGCTCGGGACGTGCCTTCTGTTGACGGGGGAGTATGTAGCAGGGCGTGGAGCCATCAAACAGATGACACCCTTACCTTGTCAGCTTGCTGACGGGGTTAACCTCTTTGGTCATGTGGACAAGGCGTCCGACTTCGGATTAGAAGGTCCGTGGTTCGAATCCCAGCACGGGACAGTCTGCGAATTCCAGATGAAAACTGCCCTTGTGATAGCGATTCATTCAAGTTTAGTAGCGTGAACAGAAGAGTGAAGAGTGCCTACACTGAACTTGATAAGCAGAATGACCATATTTTCACAAAAGAATCCAATGATAAGTGCCAGGACGACTGTCCAATTTGAATTTGTCAGTGGTTCACATTGCCACGAATTACGGGTCGAGTAAAAAAGATTTTCATGGCGCTTCTTTAACAATGATACCACGTACTAGTGACAGACCATGACTGACTGAATTTGGTTTTACGCCGCTTTAAGCAATATTCCAGCAACATCAAGGCGGGGGACACCAGAAATGGGCTTCACAAATTGTACCCATGTGGGGATTCGAACCCGGGTCTTCGGCGTGACGAGTCAACGCTTTAACCACTAGACTACCCCACCGCCCCGACAGGCCATGACTCGCTGGAGTAGGTAAGTGACTGAGTGAGTGAGTTTTGTTTGTTGTTTAATGTCACACTCAGCTATTTCCAGCTATATGACAGCTGTCTGTATATATTCGAGCATCCCCGATGTCCATTTTCCTTCATTGGTTTAAGCTCTGATTTCTCGGTTGTGTCGCATTATAAGTTTGGGTTTTATTGCTGACATACATTCCATATAAATAAAAGCGACAAATAACATTTCCATAATCACAAGTCTCTGCTAAAAATTGTAAGCTTGTAACCCGACCTTAGCATACGCATGTGTATAAACATCACCATCAAACAGTGATGATAACAGATGTACGCGAACTATGGTGGCTGATAAGGGCCATCAGAAAGCGATGGTCCTTATCAGCCACCATACAAAACCATGAGCGTGCGTTGCCCAAATCCAAAGCCAAGTCAATCGTTAATCCTGAAAATAAACTACGAGAACATATAGCAAAGTCAGAAAATGGAAACACATCTGGCGTCATTTTTGTCATCGATGCATAGAATTTGTAAATATCTTAGATAGGTTTACCATAGAACGTTGTGAAAGTTTTACTAGGCCAAGAATGTTGTAACACTGATCAAACTAGTGGTGTTCCGATTAATTGAAATAATCGACTGACTGAGTTTAGTTTTACGCCGCTTTTAGCAATATTCCAGCAACATCACGGCGGGGGACACCAGAAATGGGCTTAACACATTGTGCCCATGTGGGGAATCGAACCCGGGTCTGAAATAATCGAAGATTGGTCGAAGTGACCAAACGACCAAGCCATCGATCACATTTTCTCATAATCGAACACAAACGATTTTGGAACTGCTGTTTTAGTCTTTGAAACACTTGACGATGGAACATAATTTCGAAGTTGTCAGGGCCTGAAAACTTGTTTAATTCTTAGAAAACTCACTTCACTAACTGAAAAGTCATGACTGAATATTTCTTGAAGACCCCAGAAGGTTTATGTTCATGATATATCAGTCATCACTTTAAAGTAGCAAGTTGCATCATGTTATACATATCTGCAATAACAACCTGGATAGGACAATCTGAAAATTGACGCTAACCAATTTTTATCGATGATTCCCAATACTAGATCAAACAGCTAATTTAGGGAGAGTTTTAAGTCGCTCTTTGTAAACTTCGTAGAAATGGTATGGTCGATTGTACCTCAAGAGCTGGGAAATGCAGACACCCAAATCTACATCTGTTGGAATATTGCTCGACATAAAGGGAATCGTGACTATTAGACAGTCGAAGTTATCCTGTCTTCCTACAGTCACGCTTGAATCCGGGAGGATTTTGTACGGTTACCGTCACGCGTATCCAAATATGAAATACATGAGGCGGCGTCACAGCGTTTTTAATTATCGGAAACCGTGAAGCTTATTAATATCAAGAAAAACGTCTTGGCGAAACCTCATTGAATGGAACGACTTTTAGACCGGTGGTTATAAATAAACAGATCAGAGCGGCGGGATAGTACAAACAGTGCCTATGTGGGTGCCTACTCCTTGCCTACCCTAAGAGTGATGTAACGACGTCACGTTTAGTGTCAAATGCCCATGTTTCCCTGTGTGTTTGTTGTGCGGGACAAAGTTGCGCATGTGTTTTAACATCCAATGTCATGAAAAATTAGAAGGAATTCAAAGATTCTTTTCAGTGATTGATAATCAAAATGGTATTGACTCCACTTGTCTCAATTACTTTCGGTAAATGTGAAGAAAATCCTCCCTTGATTAGATTAATGAAAATTCTTAATCCTTAGTGACATGTACAGAACTCAACAAAATCTCTTTGCGCAGTTTTCCAAATGTTTTGGAATTTTGGAATCTTGAAAAAAGAGTAATCATTTTCGAGTTAAGATAAAGACTAATGCATGTTTTTTTGCAAATCCTTTCTTCGTTTGATGCCACTTTCACCATGTTTATATTTTGATATAAAAGTACGGTAATGTAGCGATGCTTACACACGAAGATCACCCGTGAAGGTCCGAGTTAGAATATTGATCTTCAGTAACCCATGCTTGTCGTAAGAGACGACTAACGGGATCGGGTGGTCAGGTTCGCTGACTTGGTTGACACGTCATCGGTTCCCAATTGCGCAGATCGATGCTCCTACTGTTGATCACTGGATTGTCTGGTCCAGACTAGATTATTTACAGACCGCCGCCATATAGCTGGAATATTGCTGAGTGCGGCGTAAAACTAAAAACTCACACACGATGATAATGCTCGTTTAAAAGTCAGAACAGACTCTAGATAGCTGTTGGAGAAAATAGGTTTATTCCACAGGGGTTCGAATCATTGTTTGGACAATAATTTTTAAAAGTAAAAACCTAGACTTTTGCAGTCGTATATTGTTTTTATATGTTATGATTAACATATATTTCAAATTTGAACGAGATCGGTGAAGAAATGATATTTTAAGAAAATTCTACCACTACACTCATTACATAAAATACACCATACTGTTCTCTCTTTTTCAGTTTGCGCACTCTGGTAATGACATCATCCACTCTGAATTAATCCCTTCTGAAAGACATCGAACATGTTCATGTTCTTTAGGCCCCCTATTGGTCTTTCGACAGCGTCCACTATGATTATAAAGCTGTAGACCCAAATCAGACAAGCTGCTGCTCATAGTACCTGTCCATACTTGAACAATTGGCAAAACTCGTCATTGTCAACAACAGAAGAGGCACCGACTTAATACAACCAACGGGTTATGGCAATACGAAGTGTCTTGGCAGTCCTAGGGAGCGGAATTTACATCTTGAGCTGTCATGCGCAACCACTGTATGCTAAGTCAAGGCTGTCTGAAGCGTTCATTAAATCTCAACCGTCGCTGCCTTCAACCGTCGTTTCCGCCGCTGCCTTCAGCTATATCCAAACAATATCACAAGAAATACAAGAAGAACTGTTGTCGTTCTTCATAACTGAACTATCACTACAATATACGAAACTAGTAACGAGGGCATCCAGTTACATCCGAAAACTATGACACCTGTTCTCCTCCATTGTGCTGATGATATTATTATGTTCTCGAGCAGAGTACCTGGACTTCAAAAGTTAATAAATGAGCTAGAGCACCGCTGTAATCATTGGAAATTGAATGTCAATATCGATAAGGCAAATGTAATAGCTTTCAAAAGTGGAAGGAAACTATCAAAACGAGAAAAATGGTTCTATATAAAGGTGAATACTAGTAATTGGAGGTTGTAAGAAGTAACAAATATCAGGATGTATATTTTACAAACGAGTAACTTTTGTCATTGCACTGTAACAAAGACGCTGTGCAGGCCGAAAAGATTTTAATTGGCATTTACTGCGTATCTGCGTAAATTACACAAATATTTATGTGAAAACGCAATTCCTATTAAGTCTATTGCGTACAAGTACGCTTGAATTTTTGTAAATACTCAATAAATTTGATCTTACTTGCGTACACAAAAACATGTCAAATCTTAGCTTGTGTACCGGTGGATAAATAAAATAACAGGTCTACTGAGAGGTTCTGTTTAAGCATATAAACTTGACAATTTGCAGTCTTTCTTATCGTTTCTCATTTTACAGATCAATATAAATAACAAATACGTAAACCAACATTTAAGTTTTATTATATTTTTAAAATTAATGGCAAAATACCCAATTGAGTTTGAGTAAGGTAGGTACAATTTGTTTGGTTACTCAAAGGAAAATTATCATACCCAATTGAGATGAGCACAAGCGAGTACATAATTCAATGACCCAACATGTTATCTGTAGCTCTGCCTTTCTACACTCGCAGACAACATGTATCAATGAAATACTTCCTGAAAACGAAGAACCATGTGTATTGGTAAACTTTGACAGACGTGTACAAAGGCATCAAAAGGGTCCCAGTTATCGTCCTCACGGGGCATCATGTATTTCGGCATATCTAACGTCCTCAGAACCCGGATTTATTTGTCAGTCTTTGCTCCTGAACCTTTATCCTATTTGCAAGCCCTCAAAGGAAAGCTACAGTTCCTGGTGCAACTTGATCCATCGATGATATTGTGTATGACATAATAACATTGGATTTTTAAACTTGAGGGACATTGCATGTGATGGTATTTGGGTTCCAGTACATAATGGAATACATGGGAAATCTGGATCCTGACGGCGATGTATTACGTTTCGGATTTGATGATTCATTTGCAATATGTTGCCCTCTCCTGTTGAGAGTGTCAACTAGTAGATAAATGTCCTTCACGCAGAACCTTTATGCACAATTTTTTCATTTTATTTGTGAATATTTACAAATTCCTGTAAAACAAAATTCAAAGACCTCTCCCAATGGTGTAATGGGTCTGTACAGAGATTGGATCGGTAGGTCGATGGTCAGTGGTTCAATACTGTCATTTGATACTAACGGCCAAAAATGTCGGAATATTGAGTTTTACGTGACGGGGGTTGCAAAATATACTATCAGTAGATGAAGAGTCAGGACCACTGCTAAACTGGGATCCCAATAGCTCCTGGCAACGGTAAGTAAATATATAAGTCCACTTCCATCTTTTCCATTTTAGGCAGCATTTTTATTTTCTGTGTTTCTCATCGCCTGACCGACCCTAATTTTATTGCCAACCAAAAAGAATAAAATATAAATAGTAAAAAAACAATAAAAATCCCTTCTTTTTCATTCCAACACCCGCTCGAACTCAGATAGTACCGACTCGTCATATAAAATCTTCCCACACCAAAAAGATTAGAGTTATGTCCCTTGACACCAGACCGGCCATGCCACTGGCATAGCAGTGGAAACGTAAGCAAACTGGTCTGTTTTGAAGTATGACCTTCATATGCCTTGTACAGTCGTAGTCGTGTCATTTTCATTTGATAACCTTTTATAATTTATGAACTCTATAAACTCATGCATTCAAGCACTAAATTAAGTCATTAGGACATTTTATTGTAGACAATAATTACTCTCAGTGGCTGCCACAAGCAGTCCAGAGAACGCGAGAAATTGTAAATAAGAATAAAAAAACACTATTCAGATAATTTCGTCTTTATGTGTTGTTTTTCTCCCGACCGACCGATCTATGTTCAGAATTTGGTGGCTACGTGAAACAAAAAAACTATGCCCTTCAACGAAACCTGAGTGTGTGCGTCTGTCTGTCTGTCTGTCTGTCTGTATGTGATATTTATATCTAGCCCTCTGAGATGCCATAACGGAGTTGTTTAACTTCGATACATTACTCTACCACATTACGACCTGTCCTTTCACTGAGCTAGACGAGCAGAGAAAGACCAAGTACCATCATTTTAACGTCTTGTGGAACAACACGGATCTAACCACAACCCTCCTCTCCGGGCAGACGCACATAGACCACACAGGGGTTTCATGATGAAAAGAACCTTGGAAAATCTAAAGGACGCAATTTTGGACAGTGAAATGCCTCTCCTGCGAGACCATGATCCCAATCAGTCATAACAAGACGACTTTCATGACCAACACTTCGTTGAGGTTACAACAAATGTCAACTAATAGTTCGTATCAATTCACTCAAATAAACTTTACGTCAAACAATCTGTTTGGGTGAATGACATATATCCTTCGTCCACCAAGAATACACATCTTCATAAACCTTTTTATATTTCACCGGTTCTAAGAGCTTCATGCAAATCTCACAAGTGGGATTTGGTTTTTCCACAACAAAATAATATTTTTTCCACTGTAAATACTCAACATATGCTGTCGTATTTGTATCGAGGTAATTAAGATATTTCCCAAGCTCTGCCACAGTGCTGAAATCATCAGCGTTTATATACGACTTGGGGGGCATATATTTAGTATAATCGGCAGACCCCCTCACTACTGGCACAATATCCGCCGCCATGATCGTACGGAACAGTTTCTCCGTCACATAGTCAGAGCACATCGTGTTCTCAAGTGACATATAAAACTTATAATCGTTAGTCAACATTTGAAAACACTCATAACTGCCTTCATTTCCGCAAGGGAGAGTACCACACCCACCAAACGTATCAACACGGACGTGCTGTTTAAGCATCTGCACAAATTCTTCTCTTTTACTATATGTCGAACAATGGCTCACCACCCAAGCCGCTTGTTTTGTCTTTTTGACTGCGAGAGCAGTGTAGTTCTTTGTAAGTAAATCCTTCCGCCTATTAACACGACCATAAGGATACCAGATGTCAGAGTCCGATCTGTATGTCATTGTCCAGTTAATCTGACCATGCCATCCGGGTTGTCCGAAAGACCCGGACAAGGAATAGGTTGGACTTTCCAGAGAGAAGAAAACCCATACCTGCCCTAACTTTCGCACGGGTATTGTTCCGTAGTATCCAACAGCATAGAATATGAGGGCGTCAGCCGTTTGTATGTGGGACACATCATCGGTCAAGATGCAGTCAACGGGGCAGTCCTTTAATCCCACTTCTCCCATTCTGAGCCAATTCCATCCTGGGTTATTTACAACCACGATTCGCTTCCGTCCCAGCTTTGATTGGGTCGGAGATTTCGGCACTACTTTGCCGCCATTTTGGATTCTTCCGCCTGTGCCCAAAACTGCGATATTTGTGTCCTTAAATGTTACTTCTCGTAAATTAGGATTGATATTATTCATGAATTTCCCCGAGGGATGCGGCGGAAGGACACTTTTTGTCCATGCCAAAGGATCAGTATTTGTTATTTTGTACACATTCACGTTATCAAGAAACTGGCGTTGTCTCTCCCATCTGGGAAGACTTACACGAGGTAAACTGGGTAGGTTCTGCGCAATACCGGATATGGCTACTCGTACTGGCTCTCTGGCGTGGAAGGTGATCAGCGTCACCAGGGACAGAGACAAAATGATGCATAATACTGTCCGTAGTCGAAGGAGCTTCCGACAACTGAAAATACAAAGTTTACATTTTCGTTAGGTTAATGAAGAAACAAACTGGAGAAATGCCTTGGACGATTATACAGGCAAAAACATTATTAGAGTGTGCTAAATATTACTACTGAATAAATCAATGATGGAGTGGCAGAGGCACCCTTAAGTCGTCCTTAAATGTGGTCTCCCAGTCGTCAAAAATGCTTGAAGACCCAAACTAACATAATAAGATTATGAATATATAATGAAAGACGTGACTACTAGTAAACTGCGGTTTGACGTATCTCGCGAATCGAACTATGTTATTAAAGTAAACATTAAAGTATTCTATGTTTTTGTTGATACTTGATCTGAAACCTTTCCGATATCATGGAATAACGCCCATGCAAACCATCCATATATAAATACAGTGCCTAATTTCGGATTCTTGCGAGATATTTATTAACGGTCAGCCAGGCAATACTCCAACCTTACGAGAGCTGAATTATGATTCGAGCCTTATAACTAATTTGGGGTAGCCTAATGGTTAAATCGTCCTCTCGTCACTCTGAGTATGGTTTTGCGCTGCTTTTAGCAATATTCCAGCAATATCACGGCGGGGGCCACCAGAAATGGGCTTCACACATTGTACCCATGTAGGGAATCGAACCCGGGTCTTCGGCGTGACGAGCGACCTCTTAAACCACTAGGCTACCCCACTGCCCCGAAATGTGACAAAGACTAAAAGAAGTTGATATCCATACAAGTGCCGTGTGTTCAGTGACATATTATTACAACATCTGACGCCATTCTGATGACACGAGCGGGGCGGTGGGGTAGCTTAGTGGTTCAAACGTTCGCTCGCTTCGACCCGGGTTCGATTCCCCAGATGGGTACAATGTGTGGTAGTCCCCAGCCGTGATATTGCTGGAATAAAAACTAAACTCATTCACTCACAGATAACACGCTGTCAACCACACCACCGAGCCTGACCTTCAGGCCATTAAGCCACCGTTAAACTCAAGTTCCTAATAATTATTCTATAGCCGAATTAGCAGGTTCATTCTAAGTAAACTTAGGCTCAGTATTATTCGTTACACAGCTATAGCAGTGTAACGAATAATACGGAACCTGAGTTTACTTAGACTGCAGGTTCATTGTTAAAAATGCATCATATTTTACACTTATACATGTACGTCATTGCCGAAAATCAAGATGGAAATTATATTGTCGAAACTACTAGATACATGAGAGCATGTTGCTTCGATCCGTTATACGATCCCTCCCTCAACAATGTTCCAGCTATATGATGCCTGAATCAAAAGTAGTTCAGAACGTGGTATAATCATTTATATATGATATGTTAATCAATAAAGTATTACGAGTGTAACGATTGTAAAAATAGAATGGCGCGTTAAGTTTATAGAGTAAACAAGGGCTTCAAGCTGATACCCTCAAACCACGTTTGCTGTATACACAACCGACCCATATCGATTGCGTGTGCATTTGGACTGAACAATAATACACAAACGTTCTCATCAACACATTAATGACAGCAAACGGCAGTTTGTTCTTGTAGCTAAGGGAGATAACTCATACTCAACCTTAGCTTTAGCCCAATGTTACTGTAAAGGATAGAACTACTATTATACACTGTTGAGGGTAAACATGCAAACTGGTCCTTCGTCTTGCCTCTTAACGTTGTGAGTAAATATAGCTGAAGGTGTAGTCAATAAATCTTGTAGTGTCAGTGAGTGTTTTGTATGTAGCTCAGATGAAAGCAAATATTCTGATCGATATGGACACGAAGCACGGCTCCTGGCTTGGCAGAGTATACATGTATATACCAGGCGACTGTAAACCATCCGTTTGCTTGGAATCAAACCTTGGGGTTATACACGCTTCAAAATGTCGCTAAAATGTTACAAACATATTTAAAAAACAATTTGTGTTTACCGACCTCGTTAATAGATTATGACTGACTGACTGACTGAGTTTGGTTTTTTACGCCGCTTTTAGCAATATTCCAGCAACATCACAGCGGGGGACACCAGAAATGGGCTTCACACATTGTGCCCATGTGGGGATTCGAACCCGGGTCTTCGGCGTGACGAGCCAACGCTTTAACCATTAGGCTACCCCACCGCCCCTTAATAGATTATGAGGCCAGTCGTCCTGTGAAAGATAAAAAGATTCCTTATCTCAATTTTTCTCGCAGCTGAGGAACATTATGCCCTATGCGATCAACACAATACCCTTACCCTTGTACCTTCCGAAGCAAAGGTACTGATCTACGTCAAACATGTATTTAAAGAGTGAATGAGTGAGTTTAGTTTTACGCCGCACTCAGCAATATGCCAGCTATATGGCGGCGGTATGTAAATAATCGAGTCTGGACCTGACAATCCAGTGATCAACAGCATGAGCATTGATCTGCGCAATTGGGAACCAATGACATATGCCAACCAAGACAGCGAGCCTGACCACCCGATCCCGTTAGTCGTCTCTTACGACAAGCATGGGCTACTGAAGATCAATATTCTAACCGAATCTTCACGGGTCTATATTTAAAGACTATTACCAAGTGATCTATGATTTTCAAACACCATAAAATATTTCACATAGTATAGTCACATAGTCACAAATATATAAATATAAGAAAACCGCTATGAAGCCTCGTATTCCAATGTGTTTACTGTGTAAAGATCCTGTGGCAGATTTCGCCAACTGTGGGTCACAGCATCCACGAGCAGAGAATCGCTATTACAGTAAAGCGAACATAAGAGAATTTGATACAATGGCATTAGCTTCACCATCGCCATCACTATCAGCCTCAGAACAGGAAACCTTCGTGTATCAAACCATGCAATTCTGCTGACTTTGTTTTGTTTCTGCAATATTCCAGCTCTATTACAGCTGTCTGTAAATAATCCAGTCAATCCAGACAATCAACCCAGTGATTGACATCAATCTAGAGCAGTCTATCTATCAATCTTTCGGAACAGCGAGCCTGACCATCCCATCCAGGGCCCAGTTCCTCAAAGCGATCGTAACGCTACGACAGTCGTAAGTCTATGTTAAAGTATGGGAGTTACGATCATCTTAGCGCTACGATCGCTTTGAGGAAAGGGGCCCAGGCTTTTCCAGAAGAACAATTGCTAACGCCAATGTTTTCAAGTAGTATTTGTTGTGACTTAGGTCATTGTGACCTGCATACAACCACCGTGTCATAACATGCTGTTATAACCGACCCCAACAGTAAACAGCATGTCAAGGTCTCTATTATCTGAACTCCCCAGATGTCACCTATTCAGAGCATTGTTTACCGTTTTACTCCAACCAAGTATGTCAGGCTGACCAACATAGGCCCCGAATCACGAATACCATCTATTTCTTTCTGAGTCCCAGTTGCACACCCCTCATTTCCGAATACTACAGCACACAAATCTCAAAAGCACACGTCACACGTCATCTACAAAGACAAACAGCGGATCACAGAGACACACCTACAGCATAATAATCTATTTCAACATGAAAAGGTAACATAGGAAGTTAATTCACTGAAAATATGTTACTTACAAACTTCGAATCTGGGTATCAAATACGATTTTGTATGCTACTTTCGTTCTACTCGGCATCGTGAACACCTTCTAAGTGGGCCCCTTCTGATACTGCCGATATTGAAGTAGTTTGATTAGTTTGCCGATACGCGGAAGGTCGCGGGTTCGATCCCCGGCCGCGTCATACCAAAAGACGTTAAAATATGGTACTTGTTGGTCCCTGCCTGGCGCTCGGCATTAACGGGTACAACAAGGACTGGTTGGCTCGGAGTCAGTATAATGTGTCTGAGTGGGGTATTCATGCTTCACTGCGGCGTGGTATCTCAGTGGGCTAGCACTATAAAACCAGCTTAAGTCTGGGCTAGTACAAGCAGCCACACATACACATACACACGCATGCACGTCGTCATATGAGCGAAATATTCTCAAGCACGACGTTAAACCCAATTTCACCTCACCTCACCTTCCTCTTGTGTTACTGTTTCGATCGTGAAAGAGGCTGTTGACATATAATATCTCACCCGCTAGTGTTACAGTAAACCTTGACTATCTCTGACTCTTGCTTTTAGCAATATTCCAGCAATATCAAGGCCTGGCCGTGGTAGAGGTGGATGTGGGCAGCAGGAGACTAGGATCAATGTCGGCTTTGTTTGGAGTTGGGGCTGGGCTGGGGGAGGTTGGGGTGACCATAACCGGGTTTTCACAAGTACTGTTTCCGTGTTGGTCAATTGCCTACTTTCAGCTGCATTACAAACCGGGCCACTGATGGTCATTTATACTTAGAGACACAGACGAAAGTTCATCAGAACCCGAGTTGGCAGAGAACATCCCTCGAACCCACACCACGTCTCCCTAACAGTACAAATAAGGTGACACTCCTGTACTATAACAGCATACACCCACAATAACAATAACCATGCACCGGAACGCTGTTCAGTGAGTACGAGCCATTTATACACAGAAGATTGTATACTGTGCACTAAGCTCACTGATTATTTTTTATATAAAAGAACATAGGCAAGCAATATATGCACCTACCTTAGAGACATTTCAGGGATGTTTTGGTCTCTGTCGACAGTAGAACTATGCGTGTCCTGTCGGGTGGAACAGGGAGGGAGGCAGTTGTACAGAATGTCTTGACCTACTTGACGGGTGTGCTTGGTAAAAATAACCCGCTCGCTTTGTATGGACCTCAGTGATCGGGGAGCTATCGCGTTTATCTCACATAACCAGGGGCGTTAGCGTTTCGTAGCAGCGATGACCTGAAGTGGCCAGGTCCGGATAACCCAGCGAATCCGGATATTTATACAATACAGCTGTGCGTGTCACATGTTGAGGAAGTAACACTAGTATCTGTGCAGTACACCGTCGACATAATTTAATCCACCAGTCTGGAGTGAGTGAGTGAGTTTAGGTTCTACGCCGCTTTTTGCAATATTCCAGCAATATCACGGCGGGGACACCAGAAATGGGCTTCACACATTGTACCCATGTAGGGAATCGAACCCTAGTCTTCGGCGTGACGTGCGAACGCTATTGGGCTATCCCACCGCCCCTTACCTTATTACATTAGAGACGTGTGCAAGTCTACCTTGAACGGTATTATCAGTTATATGATGGCGTGGGAACAAAGTCTGGATTGATGCATGTTTGAACTGTTCTATAAGTAAGAGTTCCTCCCGTTCCCCCATCCAAAATAATATTTATAAATTAATATATACTAAAATTATTAACCAAACCTAACACAACAAGTACTAGAGAACTCACAAAAATAACTAAAAGCAAAAATTAATTACAATATATAGGGTCGAACCACATTGCGTTACCTCTCTTACCTGCAGAAGAAAGAAATGGGGGAACGGAAGGAACTCTTCCCTTTGGGGAAGCCCGCCAGCCTAAGAGCCCACGGTCTTAAGTTTCGGGGACGCCTGAAGCGTACAACTGCAACTTATTTGAACATGTTTGAATAAGATGCATATCGGTGGTACTTACGTCACAAATGAATTGTTACGATTAAGATAATCATATCAAACGATGTCATATACAGTGAAACACCGTTGTGTTGAAACTGAAGCAAATACTTCGAGTCATCCGAAGTTCGGAAGGAATATGCAGGGACTATGCTTTTACTTCGAGACAACTGAAATGTGCACACATCACGTTCAACATAACAGTGTTTGCCTGTAGCCAGGGTATGTTGAGTAGACAGGGTATGTTGAAAACAGATATGCGAATCAGATTCACGGGCTCTTGCGTAGCACATACTGACTGACTGACTGAGTTTGGTTTTACGCCGCTTTTAGCAATATTCCAGCAACATCACGGCGAGGGACACCAGAAATGGGCTTCACACAATGTACCCATGTGGGGATTCGAACCCGGGTCTTCGGCGTGACGAGCCAACGCTTTAACCACTAGGCTACCCCACCGCCCTGCGTAGCACATACACACTAATGGGACATAAAATTGGTATTGGTACAATATTTACACAAACTGAACAAACACATGTTAGCGGTGACGGGGACAATGCACACGTTTAGAACGGCGGTCTCCTAAGTGCAGGGTGTAACGTTTAGGACTAACCAAGAGGGTGCACATTCACATCTCACCGTTATTAAACGTGCTCGCTCATAAATATTCTATTGCTGGATGAGTAATAGCATTTCTATAATAGAGACACCGGTCTAACTACTACTACGACTGACATTTTTATATATGTTTGTCACACAGAGCCCAGACCCCATCTGAACACGTCTGGCTCATTGTGGAGAGACGAAAGCGGTAACGCTATACGCACTGCATGAGGAGTGGTACACAACTCCTCAAGTCGCCACAGGAGTGAGTGAGTGAGTGAGTTTTTTCGCCGCACTCAGCAATATTCCACTTATATGGCGGTGGCTTGTAAATAATCGAGTCTGGACCAGACAATCCAGTGATCAACAGCATGAGCATCGATCTACGCAACTGGGATATAATGACATGTGTCAAACAAGTCAGCAAGGCTGACCACCCGATCTCGTTAGTCGCCTCTTACGACAAGCATGGGTTACTGAAGATCAATTCTAACCCGGATCTTCAATTCTAACCCGGATCTTCACGGGTCAAATCAATTTAAAAGGAATCATTTGTTTCTCTCAAAACAGGGGCGGTGGGGTAGCCTAGTGGTTAATGCGTTCGCTCGTCACCTCGGATACTATGTTCGATTTCCCACACAGGTTCAATGTATGAAACCCATGCCTGGTGTCCCACGCCATGATATTACTGGAATATTGCTAAAAGCGGTCTAAAACATAGTCACTCACTCACTCTAACTAAAACAACAATGACATGACGTGATCACGATGGTACAATCAAACAGTAATGCAATCGTGACAAACGCCCCCATCTTTGCGGGTATACTGTACTTAAAGAACTGCGAGGCACCCTGTACACAATCAGAACAATAATAACTCCAAACTACAGCTAAGATGTAGACCGGTTTCAGATCTGCTGGATTGAAGACGCCAACCGTTGGATAACTACCGTCTCGGAGTGTGCACATAGGATCGCGGAATATACCAATTGACTCGCCTGTATATCAATAAATCAATACTCCCAAGGTATTAATTCATGCCATGGGAATCAATATACAATATAACACACACAGCCCTACTGTGCATCTCCTGATATGTTAACGTCGCTGTTCAGTTGCCTGAAGGTCAGTTTATGGGACACACAATCAAGGCTATATTAAAACTGTGAAGCATTTGAATGTGAGTGAGTTTAATTTTATGCCGCTTTTAGCAATATCACAGAGAACACCAGAAATGGGCTTTACACACTGTACCCATGTGGGAAATCTAATCGACGTGTGACTCGGGCTTGTAAACAAACACATTGAAGGATCAATATGACGCTGTTTTCATGCACAGTATAGTGGCGATCCACATAGGTTTTAAATGAATATGTTATATGAATACGCTTTCATAAACTAAGCCACGTTAATGACAATAGGGTTATTTTGCAGATACAAATAATCAAAGGGATCGGTTCAAAACCTCGATGTCGGATATAAAACTGAATTTCTTAAGATTTGAGACAACTTCTTGGGCTCCGAAAAAGGTAATTTTGAAAATGTTGATTTCCCGCGATACAGGACCACAGTTATCACCACTGCATCCATACACTCGTGCAACTAACGTTTTTATCGACATCGGACTTTTGAAATGGTCCCTAACGGTACTTGTGTATATAGAACATGTTCTCATGTTGACAGACATCTGTCAACTGCGCGGAACGTCGATTTCACCCTACCAATGGCGGTGTCGTTTCCATAGTATTCACCTGTCAGGATATTACAAACAAACAGGTTTTAATACGAACGCAATTATACCAACTTTGAAATGAATAACACATGGATGATTCGAGTAAACATTCGAGACAAAATATCATTAACCCGGGCAGTTGGGAATGTCAGCTAGGCAAAATATGCTTTGCATTTCACTTAAATCATATCATCCAAATAACGATCAGACTATGTTCAAATATACTCCTGTGGCAATATCAGAAAGCATTTTGAAATCAAACAATTTAATACAGGAAAGATTTCCGCCAGTAACCCTCGTTTTTTATCATTCTATGCCAAGAGTAGATGTTTTTTTATAAGTAAGCCTAACCCTAACGATGACCCAAACCCTAAACCCTCGAAATAATCCTAATAAATAGAATACATTTCAAGCGGGGGTTAGGGGCGGAACTCTTACCTAAATACCCCAACACCTCAACACAGCCCTTCCACTTATAGTTCTATCCGGTTTTTAACCAAAGCATGTCACAGACCATCAGCCAGCAATTTAACTTAATATTTTAACGGATTACAAAATATTTGCTGCAAACTCGGTTCAAGCTGCCGAACAATGTCATCCATTCCCCGATTGTCCCAGACCAACATTCCTCCATTGATTTGAGACCTGTGTGCAGTACATGTGCTACAACCATATCACCCGCAGTTAATAAACAAATGGATATACATTACAAGTACCTACCATTGTCTCACTCCCGCGACCCTGTAACTGTCCATAGTGTGGGTCAGCGAGTGGGTCAGGCAAGCTTGTAAGGGTGAACCTTTCGGAGGTTTTAATTACAAGGGACTATCCTCGTTAACCCCCACACAGACATACAAGCAGCACAAATGCCTCTTCAGACAAACGTACACACTGGCACAGTGAGATATGTTGCGGACACGCGTGAATGACAAACATGGTTTTCTTTGGACAGACTGAATGGAGGTTTGTCATGTCCATTGTCAAGCTCAAACCAACAAATGGGTTTTGTACATAGTATTGTTTAATAATTCGTGAACCTATTGTGATCTGTTGTGTAATTCCTGGTTACCTAATCCAGGTATATCACGCCGGTGTTGACCAGCGAGTCCACGAGATCCTCGACAAAGGCGATTAAATATACATGGTCAAGAAACTCTGCAATTGTGAGTGGGTGAGCTTAGTTTTACGCCGCGTTTAGCAATATTCCAGTAATATCACGGTGGGGGACACCAGAAATGGGCTTCACATAATGTACACATGTGGAGGAAAAAAACTTTTTTTTAAGGGGTTGACGGGGGTTGCAAAATATACTATCAGTAGATGAAGAGTCAGGACCACTGCTAAACTGGGATCCCAATAGCTCCTGGCAACGGTAAGTAAATATGTAAGTCCACTTCCATCTTTTCCATTTAAGGCAGCATTTTTATTTTCAGTGTTTCACATCGCCTGACCTACCCTAATTTTATTGCCAACCAAAAAGAATAAAAAATAAATAGTAAACAAACAATAAAAATCCATTTTTTTTCATTCAAACACCGCCGACTCGAACCTAGAACGTACCGACTCGTCATATAAAATGTTACCACACAAAAAAATGTTATGACCCTTGACAACAGACCGACCATGATGTCTGCTACTCGTATAGCAAACGAAAACAAACATCTGGTCTATTTAGCAATTAAAGTATCACCTTCATATCCCTTTTAAAGTGGGAGTAGTGTCATCTTAATTTGATAACCTTTTAAAATTTATGAACTCTATAAACTCATTCAAGCACAATATATTTGTGTTTCGTGTATTAGTCACTCCAGTGTGTGTGTGTGTGGTGTGTGTGTGTGTGTGTGTGTGTGTGTGTGTGTGTGTGTGTGTGTGTGTGTGTGTGGTGTGTGTGGTGTGTGGAGAGTGTGTGAGAGAGAGAGAGAGAGAGAGAGAGAGAGAGAGAGAGAGAGAGAGAGAGAGAGAGAGAGAGAGAGAGAGAGAGAGAGAGAGAGAGAGAGAGAGAGAGAGAGAGAGAGAGCG